CCCCCCACCCATCCCCCATCCCCCTACTCATCCACTATCCATCCATCCACCTGACCATCCACCCCTCCACTATCTGTCCACCCACCTACCCACCATCCATCTCCCTACCCATCCCCCCACCCATACATTATCCATCCATTCATACATCTATCCATCCAATCTGTGTTGGGCACCAGCACAGACCTGGAAAGGGAAATACAGAATTTGAGATAAAGACATAGGCTTTGCCTTCAAGTTTCTCACAACCTCACAGTTTAATGGTTTAGAAAACAAATAGACAGACATGGGCATCCAGGTGATACACACACATTGTGAGGCCTGGGTTATGGGAACCCTGATTTAGAGGATCAGAAGAAGCTTCAAGAGATGACAAATAAATGTTAAGCAGAGAATCCAGGAAGAAGGCATGCTGGGCAGGGGGAGCTCTGTGAACAAAGGCAGAGGATCTTAGATTTCTTTCTCCTTTATTAATTTACCACTCAGCCGTATTTACTGAGTGTCTGTGCTGTCTTTGCTACTGCTCTGAGACCTTCCCTCTGTCTCTGCCATGTGCAGCTCATCTGTTCCCTGGTTCTTCCTCGGACACCCTTTTCTCTCTCTTTGCAGTTTTTTCTCCCCTCTGGCAGCCTCTGTGTATCTAGAAACTCTGGGTACCTCCATGAAGTGCCCCCAGATCACTACCTCTAGTCCACACATCTCTGAACCCCTGCTTTGTTCAATTTCGTATTCTCAGAGCCCAGTATCAATCCTATCTAATGCTGGGCTTGCTGGGTGTTTGCTGGGCTGTGAATGACTGCCTGCGCCAGCCCCCCCCCCAGCACCCTGTGTCTGTGCTGCCCCTGGAGCACACGTTTAGTGTACATCTTTCGAGTTCTTCATGGCTCTCAGCAGGCACACTGGCTCCTCGGTCCCCATTTCCAGCACGGCCACAGTGCTCTGGCAGCTTAGGGTAGGAACCTTGAGCCAAGCTGGCTTCTCACTCTTCCTCACAGCCCTCCAAACGGTTGCACTGGGGTCCTCAGGCCAGCATCCATGCTCCAGGGAAGGGCAGTGCTTATGGAGTGCACATGTGGGCCTGCTGTGCTGGGCACTGAGCCGTAGTGAGCAAGAGGCAGAGAATCGCCATGAAGGGTACAGCCAGTGAGGGGAAGACATGATAAAAAGAGAAGCCAGTGAGTATAAATTAATAAGTGACTCCAGGACCGAGACCTGCTATGAACAAAGGAACAGAACAATGGAACGCAGTGGGGTGGGGCTCCCTGAAAAGGAGGCTCCACTTCAGCTGAGACTAAGTGTGGGGGAAAATCAGGGAGAGCTAGAAATAGCTAGCTCGAGGAAGGACGTGGGGTCATGGGGTCGAGGGCCAGGCAGGGCCTGCAGCATCCCCCCAAACACTGATGGAGATGGAGAGGACAAGGAGGGGAGAGGAGTCATGTCCATGTGAAAGCGACAGTCATGGGACACTGGCCAGTCTCAGGGCTCTGCTTGTCCCAGGACGGGGACAGTTGTGGTCCCAAATGTAAGGCGGATGGCATACAAGCCTAGAGAAGTAAGGAGCCTGCCTGACACACACAAATGCCGAGCCCTAGAGCCACAGTTCAGAACTGAGCTCTGCCCAAGATCCTACATTTGCCTCGGTGAGGTGTGCTACCCACCACCCCTAGAATGTTCTGGAAAGGGTGACCTGTCTGCCAACCCAGACTCATGGCCGCCTCTTCCGTGGACCTCCTCTCTTCCTCTTGTCCAGAAGCAGCTTCTCTTCTGAGGTCCTTGGTGGTGAGCACATTCCACTTTGTATGTAGATCGTGAGTAGAGCTTTGTGCTTCATTTTACGTCTTGAAGTTCAGAACTATGTTATGTTGAGATCTTTATCCCTCTTCAGCCAAGAGGAGAGAGGGCATTGCTAACGTCTAATGTAGCTGCCACGTGTCTACCTGCCGCAGCTCTTCCTAAGACCTGGTATGGTTTCTTCCTGCAGGCAGCAGGACATCCTGTCCATCCTAACGGCTGTCAACCATGATGTGAGCCAACAAGTGGATGCCACCGGGCAGAAGAAGCAGATGCCTCAGCCCGCTTTCACGCTCAGGAAGAAGGTGGTATTCCCTGTGCCCCTGGAAGCTCTTCGACAGTAGCAGTGCATCAGCTTCTGGACTTGAAAGGCTCCTTTTCTGACTCCTGTGACCATCCCCACCCCTGCCTGGCCCAGGAACCGGTGGTGGATGTGAGCTGGTCTCCTACCACTGGAAGCACCTTGTTTTAGGATGCATGGTGATTCTGTTTTTTTCTTCCCCCTTCCCACAAATTTAAATGTCAGCAGGGTGTGGTGGTGCCCACCTGTAATCCCAGTGCTTGTTAGGCTGAGGCAGGAGGATTGCTGTGTGTTTGAGGCCAGCCTGGCTACACAGTGAGTTCAGGGTTAGCATGAACTACAAAGCAAGACCGCGCCTTTAAAAAAATTAAAAAATTAAAAAAAAAAATCTAAGTGTTAGGGAACTTCCTTTCCTGAGACTCAGTTGTGCACCCTGGAGAGGACAACCGGCTGTGACGTGCAGGTGGGGCCGGGCTCTCCGTCATGTGCTGTGAACTGCTGGCCTCGACTGAGCACAGCGCTGGGCGGCTGCCCCTGGGGTCCATGCGCATGTCCCCTCGGAAGGCCTTGTACTTGGCAGTGAGCTCAAGGTGTGCCCTCTCCACTCCCTCCACACCCAGTGAGGTCTAACCCTTGCTGACTCCGGCTCAGGACAAGGGGGCTGGCTGCCCACGCAGGAAGGGACTTCCTTGGGTGGGACAGCTTTGGCTCTGGAAGAAGATGACTCAGTGTGAAGAGTGGCTTGTTCAGGGTCTGGGCAGAATCTTTGCAGCCCAGTGTGAGGTTCTGTGTTGGTCTGCACACTTGGGTGCTGGTGCGGGAACTCCCAGCTGGCAGGGCAAGGGCGGGACGTGCTGTCTCTTGTGCCTGGAGCCCGTTGTAGGTAGTATTGGCTTCAGCGAGGCTTGGTCAGGGCGCGGGCATCAGGACACACCTTGGCCCTTGTTCTCGGGTTGGCAGCTGTGGGGTGTGCGTTGCAGCAAATGGCCCCACCCTGTCAGCAAACGCTGTGGTCCTCAGTTCAAGGACGGGAAAGGACTGCTTAGGGCCAGGTGGATGTCTAGAGATGCCTTGGGGTGGCTTGGTATGGAAACCACGTGGCTTTTTACATTAAGGTTTTGAACATTTTTATATACTTGAACTTTTTTTTTAAAATTCCAAGAGTAACTTTTTCTTTTTAATTCCTGGAAACATGTTGTGAATCCTTGAGGGGCTCATGGAGGGGAGGTGGAAAGTCCCATGGTAGAACCTCCATTCACGGTGTGAAAGCCAAGCCTAGGAGGTGAGTGACTGCTCACGCCAGCCAGCCCCAGGCAGAGGGTCCTCTGTCCCTCTGAGCAGGCTGGGACACCACGGGGCATTGTGACTGCACAGCCTGGAGTTCCTCAAGGAAGAGCCAGAGAGCAAGGAGAAGGTGCTCTCAGGAGTGCTCGACTTTATAATTATTTACATGAACGCCAAGTTCATGGACAGTGGGTCTGCTGAGAAGGCTTTCTAGGAAACTGGTCACAATGTAGCTCATTACTGCGCACATTTGAGTGTAGCCTCTTTCGGGACATGAGCCCAACACAATGTCAGGGTGAGCCTCCAACCCGTTGCTCATGCAAGTCCAGGCTTGAGGCCGGCCAGCTTCTGTGCAGTTGGACACCGTACCCGGGGGCCACTTGCCTCCCCGCCCTGCGTGTAAGGCTGCTGTTACACAAAGAGCACAGGGTCTAGAAATCCAGCCCCGGGATTTCCATTCTGCACAGCATCTCCGTGTCTGGGACACTCACTAAATCAAGCTCACTTTCTGAGCCTTCTCTGTAGAAAAATAGTAGCAGGGGGAGCAAAGGAGAAAGTGCCTGTGTGCTCATTTACATGGAACTGTGGCCCCCTTAGTGGGCGGAGTCCTGTGGCAGAACCAGATGGAGAGAGCAGGGCCCAAGTCCTTCAGGCCTAGCTCTAGCAGTACCCAGCACCCTTGGCACCAGACCTGGCTGCCCCCGCCTGGTTCCCAGTGTCCCCAGCACATCAGGCCCGATCTTGGCTCCACGTCCAGCTCACCACACTACTGACACAATCTCCCTCAGACGCACTTGTCTTTTGGTGTTGATGTCCTGGGCCTGTAGTCTGGTTCCTGGTTCCTATGTTTCTGGATCGTAGTGCTTTTGTTAGGCTAAATTCTAGATCTGGCAAATGCCCCAAAGCTCTCTGTGGAGCCCTCCAGCAAGTACCTGGACATTACGCCTGAAAGCCACAACTGTCATGGGGACAAATAACCATTCTTGCTTCTCCCAAGTGGGGCGTGTGAGTCTCCAAGATTGTCAAACAGTACCCTCGTCTGTATGAAGTGTTCCTGTGCACATCTGTTGGACTGGGAACTTTGTAGCAGCTACGGCCACGGTTGGCCCAGATGTTTGTGGGGAGGAGTTGAGTGAGGGTCCTACACAGTTTGCCTGGGTTTGCTCAGCGTGCTGATTGTTTATTTTTTCCCTTTGATTCACAGAAGTTTGGGTCCTATCAGACAAAATGAAAGGAAAAACTTTTGATAAGGTGTTACACAAATGCTCCCAATATTTAATGCTGATACTACTGGTGTTTGTTATTAGAGCCTGTGGTCACCACAGCTTCCTACTGGCCTTGGTTCCCGAGGCTGGCTGAGGGCGTGGGGGGGGGGCTGACACATGCAGTAGGCAGCCCTAACGTCCGGAGCTTAGCCTCAGTGACACTGTTGGTCGGCAGCCCACTGCTGTGACAAATACTTGAGTCCCTCATCTTAGAGGAGGAAGTTCTATTTTGGTTCATGGTTGCAGAGGTTCAGCCCATAGTTGTTGGCTCAGCCGCTCAGGGCCTGTGGTGCACAGAACACTGGTGGGCAGAGCCGCTCCCTTCATAGGAGCCTGGAAGAGAGAGGGCAGCCTTGGTGCGCCTCTCAAGGACATACCCCAGTGACCCACCCTCAACTAGGCCTCATCTTAGGGTGTCACTGTTTCCCACAGTGCCACGGCTAGCACCAGTGCGTGAGCGCTCGGGGCGCTTTGTGGTCCAGCCACAGCAAGTGCGTCACATTCCACAGTGCTCGGGTGATGTTAGGTCTTGTGACTGAGAAGACAGATAGCAGTGAGTGGTGTGATGCAGCGGTGAGGGTTGCTGGCAGCAGCAGCTTTGGCAGTGGCCAGGCTCTGTGGTGAACTGGCTTGCACGCCTGTCCCAGTTTACAGGCAGTGTTTGTGTCACACATGATTGCTTGACATGTCTTACTCTGGCTTTTGAAAATCTGAATTTTAAAAAGATTTTCTACTGAAAATTTTAGATTATATAACTTTTATTTTCAAAAACAAATTTTGAGTGAGGATGTCTTTACACTGTTTCAAGACAAGAAGTTGTGGAGCTGGGCATGATGGTACACGCCTGTAACCCAGCACTCGGGAGGCTGAGGAAGGAGGAGCCTTGTGAGCTCAAGACCAGCCTGGGCTGCGTGGTGAGACCTTGTCTCAAAGAGCAAAAGAAAACAAAGACAAGAAAATGTGGAAAGGTATTGCAAATGCTACCTCTTCCAGCCGTGGTCCTACCGCTTGTGCTGTTGGTCACACCACGGTTTTGAAATCGCAAAGACAATAAGCAGAAGTGCAAGTGTATATTTAAAACAGTATTTATTTTAAACAAAACATGTGGGGCTGGAGAGATGGCTCAGTGGTCTAAAGCACCTACTTAGAACAAGCTTAGCAAAGCATCAGGGACCTCGGTTCAATCCCCCAGCACCACATGCCA